CTAGATGTCATAGTTCATGAATAAAGGATATCAAGAAACAGTAGTCCATACTCATTTAGCATCGAGGTGGTGTGAGTAGGAAGCAATCCTACATCAGTCCATGTTCATATCATCCATAATAAATCTAGTGAAAATATTGTGAAACATGTCTTTCAAAGACAGTAGATCATCTGAGGTCATATAGATAATTAAATGTAAGTCTAAATTGCTATAAACATAACTTGAATCTGGTAAATGTGAAAAATGGCATATATTTATGTATTACTTGTTCTAATGTCATTCTTATTTAAATACCATTAATCAAAAAACCACTGATAATTATAAATAAAATTTCCACGAATATGATATCAAAAGTGTTTAAATAAAGATTTTAAGGAGTTTAGAACAAGATGGAGTGGCGACGTTACTCCTGAAATCAAGAGGAAATGTTTATTATTGGATCACACAAATCGTCATAGATGTATTATGAGTAACGACTAAGCCTCCCACTTTTTCACGTTCCAATTCATAATAGTTCAATTTACGTCTCAGTTCATGCTTGTTCCGCCATTTTGCTTAGTAGGATAAATTTATGAACTTGCTTAGCCATTTTATGCAAATTAAATAAGTGTGCGTTTATGATGAAAGGAAGAAAAAAAAGGTGTAATGAATGACTATTACAAGGTATAATATGGTAAATAAGCGTAAGCCTACCTCTTCCAGCTTGACCTCTTCTCCATCTTGTCATGCGACATAAAAAAAAAAAGACATGACTTTTCACCACAGAATGAAATACAAAGAAAAGAATTTTTTTAATCAGAAAAACGCTTAGAAATCAAAATTACCTGACAAAACAAATCGGCATTAAAAATGTCGGTCGCCGAGAAGTAAACATCTGGGGCGCTCGAAGATATATTTATCTTCCTTCGCCCCGCAAGTGATAATTATTGTTTATCTAGAGATTAAGTGCATTAACTATAGCGGAAGGGTAGTTTTGTATAATATTTTGATGTACGAAGTAGGTTAGATAGGCGTGGAGTGAGGTGAAGGAGACAAAGTTTCTGGCAAGGTTGATAAGTAGATGGGAAGAAACAGCTTTTCAGTCTTTGTCCATTGTGAATTTTACAATCTTGCTTGAATTTTTTTATTGGTATTTAAGACTATTCTTGCGTGGACTGGGGACAGTCAGGTAAGTTTACGACCTCTTCCTCCTTCCTTTACTGCTGTTGATATTTTAGTACAGTAAAATACCATGTTTATTACTACATGAAGGTCGTGGCTTGTACCCCGAGCACTAATACAACATCTGACCCCTTCTAAGGCCACATCCATGTATGTAATGCTTTAGTAAACTAAATTTCACTTTGTTAAGTGACAGGTGTACCTGCTTGCAGTAAATGACTTGTTCTTATACTTATAATATCAGTGGTCAAACGAGGAAAATCATGGAGGCATTTTTCAAAATAGAGTTTTGAGGAATCCGTCCATTCAAATGGACAGTTGACGACCGGAGTCCGTTCACAAGTGCATTCAACATTGTAACAGTTTCCAGTTTCCCACCAATTTAAAAATGTGGTCATATAAATCAGAGCGCATGACGAACGCGAATGATTTTCCTGACACCTTTGGGAAGTGGATATTATAGCTAGCAATACATCTATAGTCTCAATTTGACTCTACTTTAAGTGTAGGATTTTCTTGCAAAGGGTAAATGATGTAATGAAATTTATATAACGAGTTGTTTTTAAATTTAAGTAATGATTATTTTCTGAGTTTAGAAAATCCAAAAACGATGAAAAAAATATTGCATATTGAGGGCACTTCGCATCGAAAAAGGTGGGGTTCGAACCCTTGTATCCACAACTGACAGACATTTGTTCAAAGACGTGACGTAGCTCTAGCATGCAAGAGAGATTTCGTCATTTTTATATCACGTGCAGTTCTAGTCGCTCAATAATATTCTGTTTAAGGGATCGTTTCAAATTATGTATATATCTGAGTAACATTTTTTCTATAATAAATCTAGGCCTATAACAAATGACTAATGACTAGGGCCGCATGTGTTTTCAGACTTTTTTTTAAACGCTGAACCATTATTGATGTGGGATTGTGTATGTTTTCTAATGCTTGTCATTTTATTTTCTTCTTTTTTTTTTCAGCGCGGTGGTCCTGGAGTTGTAGATCCGCCAGTCTCCGCCTTAATCCGGCCCTGACTAGTCTTGTGCAACGGCATGGTTAGATTTTGTAAAGAAATATACACCTGCTAAACTTTGCATACTGGCAATTTAGCCTACCAGTTTCATAATTCTCATTTTTACTACATCAAACACAAATATTTCCAAGAGGTGTTTTGGAAAACAAACTAATACGATATTAAGATTCATCGATGTCCGAAAGTATTAAATATTCCATATATGTAGCAAATTTCCAGAAATGTTACGGAGAAAACAAAATTATCTTGGACACAACAGGGAAAACAAGTAAATAAAGTATTCAAATAAAACAAAACCACTTATTTGGACAACAATAAAGTATGCTGGTTCTTTAAGAATATTGGTCGGTATGTGCGGTATTGATACAATTTGGCTGATGGATAAAGGTACGAAGTACATCTGATAACAACGGGGTCAGTAGCAAGAATCATAACGGTATCATAATATGAAACTATTCCATGGACCCAGTACCGTTATCAACAATTTACAGATTACCCACGTCAACTATTATTCTCATTACACATATCCAATGGAAACACAACCCCTAACTCATATTGACTTGCGTTTGTACATTTCTATGTACCACCCCATGAAATGAGTATTACCGCACGCCAAAAGGGCATGACAGGGAAACAGGCCAATATAAGCCAAAATTAACAGTCGTTGTTATATGTAACATTTGTCTAAGTTAGCCCAGGTTTATGGCCTTGATAAAACCGATTAAAAAATATCATCAACAAATCCACGAAAATTTAGAAAACTGCCAGAATAAAACTAAATAAAGATATAAACTTAACTGTTGATAGATGAGCTAAATTAGCAGTTATTTCACCTGCGACGAAAAAACTAAATGTAAAAAATGTCCGCAATTTAAGTTAACCTTAAATTACAAAAAAAAGCGATTAAACTGACCAAAACCAATCTTCAAGTTAAGCTAAAAATCTACATATTAAAGTCAGTTGTTACGAAAATAACTATAATAAACTTTTTTAAAGTTATTTAAGATATATATATACCTAATACAGTGTTGAACTATACAGCTTCTGTATGCTGCGAACTACACGCGCTTCTACATTTAGCTTTTGTCGCAATACATTTGCCCCTAACATAAAAAATATAAAAATCAATAACTTAACTAAGTGTGTTTTCTCGGCCATACTTCTAACTGTGTTAAAGGAAAATGCTACAAAGTGTGCATATGAATACCTGATCATAATACAATATCAGAAAGTAGATAATATCAACAGCAAAAATTCTGTTAAGCCTATTTAAATATTTGTAATAATAATTGCAGTTTTATTTATATTAATGAACACTTGATTTTAGGCTTGTTCATGACAAGTAATGGTTCCCATAACATCAGTTTTCTTTGTTTCGTAGCATCTCTATAATATATCTACACAATAAAGCTTATTTAGTTAAACTAATCACAAAAATATAGACTACACCGAAAAAAAATGTTAAAAATTAGTAAAATTAAAAAAATTCAGCGAGAGCCGCTTACCGCTAATTTATGAAATGGAAACCCATATCGGCGGTGGTTTTTATGTTTTTACTCACATGACGACACTTAATAGAATATAATAAATAAGGTACGAGAACAATGAATTTTTTGTTTTAATAATTTGAAATCCTAAATTTTGCGAATCTGTTTTTTTACCAGACACTTTAATACCTATAACTTTAAAAATATTGGGACATAGTATGTGGAACTATATGTTTCAGCGGATATCGAGGAATCGTCGCATAGGTTTTCAGCGCAGCAGCTGAATACACCGTAAGAAGCATTAATTTGTTTAGCAGTAAAAGCTGTTGCTGTGAGGTGTGGAAAGAATTCCAAGGGGTGGATCTTTACCGAATCAAATTTCTGGTGGTAGTTGTATTGGGATAGGCTTACGGGTTATTAATTTAAAGTTCGTATCAAATAGTACAAAATGGATGAAGACTACGACGTAATTGTTTTAGGAACCGGTTTAAAGGCAAGTTAGCATAAGTGTACTTGTCTACAAGTTGTACAAGCTAACTCTTGGAACTTAGTACTATTAGTAATACCGACTAGTCTACTATTAGACTAGTCGGACTATAGTAATATACTATATAGACTAAGGAGTAAGGTTATAATATTAATAGTAATGGCACTACTAGTAGTAGTGCATTCTACAGAGGACTAGTACTGTTACTTATTGCTAGTAGTAGTAGTAATAATAGTACCAAGTTACTTAATAACACTAAGTATATACTATTAACAATAGACTGTAGACGTGTGCGGTGTAGCCAACATACTGTAGTATGTACTATTACATATATAGTATTAATGTTATTACTACTAAATTTTGTTTCTACTAATTTTATTTTTAAATTCTAGTGCATCCAAGCCTAAACCAAGAACGTTGTTATTAATATTATTATTAATCATCAATTTAATGCTATTGTTAAAACAAGGTTCAGAATCTGCCTTCCAAGTTTCAAAGCATCTATTGAGGCCCTCATTGTTTCATTGCTCATTTGTTTATAAGTTTGGGGGTACAACTGATTTACGACTATCGTTAGCCACCATACATATATACATCTTTGAGTTTGATAGGATGAGTTGGTGAATATTAGTTTTTGAAGTTATAGAAAAATTAATATAACATTGTAAGATGTTTTTCCTTACACTATAGCTTTAGAACTTAGAAGATAGTTTGTGATATTTTTTTATTGATTATATTTGTAACTGTGTTTTAACAGTAGGTATATCTATCATCACAAAATCACATGGATATTATAAACTTACTTGGTCAAAAAAGACCTTAGCATAATTTTTTTTATATTCCTGATGGTAATTTTCCAAGTTATGTAATCTTTTATTTTAAAACTACTTTGAACGTCAGTCCAAAACTGAACATACAGTATTCAAAAAAAGATATATGAGAAAAGGGGATCCTGTGAATAATGTATTTTTAACATGTCGGTTTCCTAATAATTTCACCTTTTCAGGAAACCTTGGCATTAATGCAGTAATAACAAGAAAATAGCTTGTGCTTATATATATATATATTAATTAAGTTGGGTCCATTAATCTTTATCATGATGGTGTATATATCTGTAGGTAACAATATTATTTTGTGTACTCTCAGGATCTATAGTTAACATATCAAATGTACAGTACCCGCTATTTGCCCATCATTATCCATAGTACAATCTGTTATCTCTCGCCTGATCTGAACAGTGCATCTTAAGGTTCTAAAGTTATGAAAAACAAATATACAAGGATATAGTTATAATTAATATGCTAATAATGTCTGGTGTAAATTATAAGTACTTTATAGATTACTTGGTTAGTTTAAAATGTGAAGTTTTGAATTGGGTTGACTTATATTAGGGATGTCATTTTATGTACATCACAGTAGTCAAAGGTTAACAATAATTATAATCAGATATCCTCTGGGTTCTTGATAAACTCGTCGTTATTTAATTTCATAATAATCATATTTTGCCATTGTGTATTCTGAGGGCCCTTCTTTAGTGAACGTGTCATGTTTCGGGTACTATATATTTCAAAATTGTTTATAGAAATTAAATTTTGATGACTGAAAATATGATTCTTTTAAATGTGCTTTTATGTTAGGCTTTGATACTATTAATATTATAACTTAAACTACACCTGATGGTATACTTGGCTTGTTATTGGTGTGGCTGTAAACATTTAGTTTGTAGTTAGTTTGTTTTATGAATCGTGGTAGTAGTCAGAATTTTGGCTGTAGGTTTTCACTTTACTTTCTATAGATTTTGTTTCTACAGAACTTTGATTGTGGTAGGGTAGAGCTCAGATGAGTCAGGGTGTTTATTCACCAGCTGCTTGTAAATACCTAGTTTGAATTATATATATATATATATATAGACATGTCCACGTTCATTTTGAAAGAGTAGGACATGGCTTTTTAAAATCTTCCTGATAGCCTTCAGCTTCATTTAAAAAAATGAATAAATACCATGTACATTAAATTTGTAGTTGCCAATCTTGAATAACGTAATTTTATTATAATATAGGTAGTAAAGGTAATTTTTTTTCTAATTTTAATTTCCAGAACTGTTTTCATTTTTAATGTATATTATTTGCAGCCGGTTTACATGTAGTATTTTTTATTGTGTCTACACGTCATATTAATTTAATTTTACACCTTTTGGTTGTTCTGTAATGGTATGGTTATCACACTAGTACGCGTCTTCGATTAAAGCTCAAACTAATGAAAGTAAACTATTTGTTTGAAGTATTTTTTTTAAACTTCAAATATCAAACATCATGAAATTTCTGTTTGTAAAATTTTATTTGATATTGATATGATGGCGATCCTTATTTCCTTATATTGTGTAGTTTACATGTACTTTGTTGTTTAAATTTTAAGGTGATATTTAAATTTTTTTTTTTATGTAGCTTAACAAATATAGTACTTCTATGGAGCTAGGCTTTAGCTTCCATGGTTCTACACTGGTGGTTTTGTAATATTTCAACATAGCTAAACTTTAGCTTCCATGGTTCTACACTGGTGGTTTTGTAATATTTCAACATAGTTAAGCTTTAGCTTCTATGGTTTTACACCGGTGGTTTTGTAATATTTAAACATAGCTAAGCTTTAGCTTCCAGGGTTCTACACTGGTGGTTTTTTGTAATATTTAAACATAACTAAGCTTTAGCTTCCAGGGTTCTACACTGGTGTTTTTTTTTTGTAATATTTCAACAAAGTGGTTCAAACTTAGAAAATTAAAAATGTTTGTGCATAAATAAAGTTCTACTTTTTACTATACCCTTCTAGGAATGTATTCTAAGTGGAATGCTCTCTGTAAGCGGGAAGAAAGTCTTGCATATGGATAGGAACAAGTACTATGGAGGTGAAAGTGCATCAATCACTCCTCTAGAAGAACTCTTTGCCAAATTCAATATGCCGACAACTCGTTTTGACGAATATGGTCGATCTAGAGATTGGAATGTGGATCTTATACCCAAGTTTTTGATGGCCAATGGTGAGTAATGCTGTAATTGTTGTAAATGAATTTAAAAGTAGTTTGGTATTGGAACACTGAACATTTGTTTGGACAAACTTTTATGGTCAATTGAAGTGGAAAAAATACAGCTACATTACATTACTTGCTATATACTTTCAGAAAGAATCGTGTAGATAATGTTCACGTAGATTTTTACCTCTTCTTTGGTTGCATTTTTCAACAACTTGTTAATGGTTTATGTACATTTGTAGCAGGGTTACATCATTTCATCTATAAATATAACTGATAAACTCTCAGCAGTTCTGAATTGAATGAGCTTATGAGGAAATTATTTAAAAGCCACAGAAACAACCCTGTGAGTGAATACAAAATTTAATACGTTTTTTATATCTTCCCATTTTTCAGCACCTGATGCTTGTCTGTATAGTGGTCAGTAACCTGTAAAGAGCACATCAAAACAGCATCTTATGTGGTCAGTAACCTGTAAAGAACACATCAAAACAGCATCTTAAGAAATTTCTCTAACTTTAACCTTTCCAATTGAAGTTCCAAAAACTTTTGTCTCATGTTAGGATCTTTAAATAATTTGAATTGAACCTTAACTATGTTCTAGTACACTTCACTTGGTACTGTTAAGTTCACTGATGTGAGTCTGTGTGATGGAACCAGTGTAGTCTTGTAAACAACAAGGGTACTTAAGTGGATTAAGAGTATTGAAAATTTTCATTGGCGACATTCTCTTAATGAACTGTTTTAATCTAGAAATGGACATGCATCTTTGTAGAATTGTACACTTGGATAACCCGAGTAAACAAGTTTACAAAGTTTTTTTTTTTTTTTTTATATATATATGTGAAACTTGATTGAATATATAAGGCAGTATTGTTGATATAGATTGTTAGCATTTTAATCCAATGATTGTTTTACAGCCGCTGTCCTGTAAGATTAATAGAATTGCACTTAAAGAAGCTGAAAGAGTGTTCATAATCAACATGCATGTACCTACAACCTAGGTCAGTGTGTCAAAGTTTAGTGTATGACTTTGACACATATTGAGTGATTTACCTCACCATAATATTGCCACAAAGCTTGTTTTGCTAATTAAAACTACTGATATCCTACCAATGTAACATTTCTAATGTGAAAAGTCAGAGTTGTATCTGTATTGATTAACTGAATAAAACAATATAGTTTTCTGTAAACCTATCATAAAATGTATGTTAGACATGATAAATGTTGTTCAACAATTTGGTATAATATACGGTAGTAAATGTTGATCAAGTTTTGAATGTTGCATTTGGTTAAATATTTGTATCTGAAGTCATAACGTTGTTATGACAGAAAAACGTGTTAATAGATTATAAATGTGAAAGCAAGGTGTTTTACGTAAGTCCAGAATGAAACATTCTTTACAACATGCTTTACAGAAGTGACAGTAAATCCAACTATTCTGTTCAAATGCCATGCAAAGCTCTTGCAGTAGC